GTCCAGGCAGTGCGTCTCACGAAAACATAGCACGTTGACGGGTCACTCAGACATGTGCTTAAAGTATGTCGAACAACCTGTGCGTCCCCTCCATGCCATTGCCTTCGACACTCCATGACGCCACTCGTTCATACTGAGCCATGCCGATACCAGCCGCACGTGTGCTGCCAATGCAGCGTCGCATTTCCTAGTGACACCCTTTTGTTAATTTTGCCATCGCCTTGCGCAAGCCTCTGGAAAACCCCGTTGGCGCGATTGCTCCGGTCGGCAACTTCCTGGCTGGTGGTGGGTTCGCCCCATGCTGCTCAAGAACCTTGCCAACGCAAGAAACTTGGAAACCACTCCTGGCCCCATGTGCAAGACAAACTGTTTTTTTTTCTGCGCGCACATAGCTTTTGACAGCTCGTCTGGAAGCAGGACCAGAAACTCTTTGGCACCCTCTTTTCCAGTGGCTGATCCCGACGTGTCCACATTATGCTTTCTTGATGATTGAACGGCGCCTGTCCTAGAATATCTGCGACAGCAAACTGCTGGAACGATTCGCCCTTGATGAGGACATCGGCTGGTTCTGGGGTTCTGAGCTGAAGAGCAGATTCGCTGGTCCATGTGGCATCGTACCGTTAAGTATCGAAGTTGCCATGGCCCCCAAAGTCTTCGGCGCATTCGTACTGCGTCCGTGGTGAATTCCGCCATCTGGCCCTCGAGCTCGATGAAGCCCGCCTCCACCGCGGATCCCCCACTGCGTGCAGAGGCGGTTCCTACAGAATCCGCCGACCCCTTGGGGTTCATCGGCGCGTGAGATCTTCCCCCTCCCCAAACCCCTCCCCCGGGAGCCCGGTCCGGTCGATTTGGAAGGGGGGGCGGGGTTCCGGCCGGATCCCCCGGGGGGGTCATCCGCTCCCGAAAATCCTGCGAGGACCCTTCCGGTGGCCTCGAAATGGCCCCGGGACGCCAAACGAGCGCTCCAAGACGCCCAAGGTGGCCCAAAGACGGGCTACGAGGCCTCCAGACGGCACAAGAGGTCCCCACGAGGCCCCAAGAGGCCTCCAAGATGCGTCCCAAGAGGGTCCCTAGACGCAAAAAGTTGCCCATCCCCTCCGTTAAACGTACATCTTTCACAAGTTCGCCTTCTGGGTTTTCCGATGCTCCCAGACGGCCCAAGAGGCCCCCAAGACCGCCCCAAGACGGCCCAAGAAGCCTCCAAGAGGGTCCCAAAATACCCCAAGAGGGCCCCAAGACGGGCCAACAGGCGTCCAAGACGGCCCAAGAGGGCCCCGAAAACGGCCCCAAGAGCGCTCCAGGAGCGCTCCGAATGGCCTCCAAGAGAGCTCAATATGGTCCCAGACGGTCCATGAGCGATCAAAGACGCCGAAGACAGCCTCCAGACGGCTCAAGATGCCCCCAAGAGGCCCCAAGAGGCATCCAAGATGCGCCCCAACAGGGCCTCTAGACGCAAAAAGTTGGCCCACAAGTTCGCCCTTTGGGCTTTCCGACGCTCCCGGGCGGCCCAAGAGGCCCCCAAGACCGCACCAAGACGGTCCAAGAAGCCTCCAAGAGGGCCCCAAGACAGCCCAAGAGGGCGCCAAGACGGCTCAAGAGGCGCCGAAGACGGCCCAAGAGAGCCCCGAAGACGGCCCCAAGAGCGCTCCAGGAGCGCTCCAAGTGGCTTCCCAGAGAGCTCAACGTGGTCGCACACGGCCCAAGAGCGATCGATGACACCCGAGATGGCCTCCAGCTGGCCCAAGACGCCCCCAAGGGGCCTCCAAGATGCGTCCCAAGAGGGTCCCTAGACGCAAAAAGTTGTTCCTCCCCTTCGTAAGATGCATAGCTTTCACACATTCGCCCCGTGGGTTTTCCGACGTTCCGAGGCGGCCCAAGAGGCCCCGAAGACCGCCCCAAGACGGCCCACGAGGCCCCCGTGACGGCCCCACGACGGCCCAAGATGGCCCCAAGACGGCCCAAGAGGTCCCCAAGACGGCCCAAGAAGGCTCCAAGACGGCCCCAAGAGGGGCCCAAGAGGGCAACCAAAAATTCAAAAATCTAGCTTTCCGCCCCCACGAGCCCCAGGGGGGCCCCAAGAGTGCCCCAAGAGGCCGCCAGAAGCCCCCAAGAGGCCGCCAAGACGCCCCAAGGAGCCCCCAAGAGGCCCCCAGGAGGCCTCCAAAAGACCCCCAGACGCTTCCGCATTGCGAGCCGTCAAGCCAACTGCAATGCACTCCGCGCATGCAGCCTTACTCTTCCTCGCGACGTGCTCACAATCTTGCTCGGCGCTAATGTGCTGCTGCTACGCGAACTGTTTCGTGCGCGCTGCGAACGTCAACAGCCTCTTCACCCGTTTCGACTCATCTGCCACATCTTTCGCGGTGATGCTTCGCTGATCACACCTTCCGCACGCTTCTCTTGCTCCTTTCGTCTTCCGGTGCTCCTCCACTTGGTTCAGGGTCGAGAGGCCGATTTCCCAGAAGGACACCCCGCACCCGGGTGCACAGCACGCAAGGCGCTCGCAAAACACGGCCCAGACCACCGGCATCACGCAAACATTTGGGCCCCCTACGTATCTGCCACCACCCGCGCGCGACACCGCACCCTCACACAAGACGCCGCTGGCCAGACACTCCTGGCCTCGAAACAGTCACAGAAGGGGTCGGCGGATGTGGCGTAAGCCTGTAGAATCGAAATCAGGATGAAGTGGGTGCGACTCAAGAGCGGCATCCCTAGCAGTAATGTCATCAATCAGCTCGGCGCGATTACTCTCGAGGTTGGTGGCACGAATGGAAGTGTCGTCAAATTGCTCCTCCACCTCCTCGAACCTGATATCGATGGTCCCGCTCATGTCATTGATGCGCCATTCGAGGTTATATATGGTCGTGCGGGGGGGCTGCACCGCCTTGCGGAACATCTTGGCGATGTGCTCCAAGGTAGGCGGATGCAGGTCTTGTTCCTGTTGCTCGTGCTGTGCTTGTCCCCGTGCCGGAGAGAACGCCTCCACTGGTGTCGTAGGAGTCGCCAGCGTGTGTACCTTGGGGCCGTCGTCGCCATCATTCTGATTCAGGGACCTGCGTAGAACAGTCCCTCCCAACTACCACTGGCGTGCCTGGCGCGCGGGCGTGTGCGCGGGAGGGGCCGTCAGGCTAAGCGCTCGAAGCCATGGTCCTCAGAGGAGAATGTGAATGTACATTGACTGGGCTGTAAAGGGAATGGGTGTAAAGAAGAGGACTTTGGAACGGCGTTCCACATAAATGGTGACCTTGAGCCAAAATGGCTTGAGCAAAAATGGCTTCATCCTCAGAATCGTGATGATCCTCATCCGCGTCCTCATCCTCATCCCCATCCTCATCCTCATCGTCATTATCGTGTTCATTATAATCCGCGTCATCATAATCATCCTGCTCTTCATCACATTCTCATCCACCTCCTCATCCTCATCCTCATCCTCCTCCTCCTCCTCATCATCATCATCCGCATCATCAGCATCATCAGCATCAGCATCATCATCACATTCGTCGTCGTCGTCGGCAGCAGCAGCAGCATCGCGAGTAGCATCCGCGGTACCGTCATTCTAAGCATCATCAACTTCAGCATCAGCATCATCAACAACAGCATCATCATCAACAGCATCAACAACAACCTCATCAGCATCGGCGTCGTCATCATTCTCGGTCTCACCCACATCAGCATCCTCATTATCGTCCTCATCACCATCCTCATCCACATCCTCGTACTGCATGATCGTCATTATCAGCATCAACAACATCATGATCAGCAGCATCCTCGGCATGATCATTAGCAGCAGCAGCAGCAGCAGCAGCAACAGCCTCATCATCAACATCGTCGTCAGTATCATCATCAGCATCATCAGCATCAGCATGGTCAGTATTATACCATCATCATCAACAGCATCAGCATCAGCATCATCAGCAACAACAACATCAACATCACCGTCAGCATCACCCTGAAAGCCATCATCATCATCAGCATCACCATAATCAGCATCATCATCCTCATCGTCAACCTCATCATCATCATCATCATCATCAGAAGCAGTATCATCGTCGTCTTCAGCATTATCATTATCATCGCTATCATGTTAATCTTCCTCATCAGCAGCAGCATCATCAGCGTCATATTAATATTCCTCATCATCGTCATCATTATCATCCGCATCATCATCATCATCATCCTCAGCATCATCATCAGCGTCGTCGTCATCATCATCATCAGCAGCATCAATCATCATCAGCATCATCATCGTCGTCACCATCCTTTTCCTGATCCTCATCCTCATCCACATCCTCCTCATCCACATGATCATCGTCATCCTCATCATCATCACCAGCAGCAGCAGCATCAGCATCACCATCACCATCCCCACCACCACCACCATCACCATTATCGTGACCTCATCCAATCATCTTTACCGCAACATCGCCCACCACCACCACATCCATCTTTACCTCCCCATCATCATCATCATCATCATCATCATCATCATCATCATCATCATCATCATCATCATCATCATATAACATCATAATCATCATCATCACCATCATCACCATCACCATCATCATCATCAGCAGCATCATCATCGCCATCATCGTCGTCGTCATCATCGTTATCATCGTCGTCATCACCATCAGCATGAAAAATAATCATCAGTAGCAGCAGCATCATCATCACCTTCCAAAGCCGCGCCACCACCACCATCGTCTTTACCACTACCATCATCTGCACCTCCTCCCCTCCCCCTCCTCCTCCCCCTCCTCCTCCTCCTCCACCTCCTCCTCCTCCTCCTCCCCCCCCAGCGCCGCGCGGCCCCCAGGAGGGGCGCCGCGCGCCCCGATGTGGCGCGAGGCCATGGGTCAGGTGCCGAGTGCCGGGCGCTCCGTGCTGCCGGGGCGCGTGCGCTCCGCGCTGGACCCTGCGCTCAGCGGGCAGACTTCGGCCGGGCATGCCCTCCTCGTCGTCGTAGCGTCGGCTACTTTTCTGCTGTGCGCTGTCGGCCTCAAGGCGCAAAGGAGCCTCGTGGATGCCAAGACTCGCGGGCGTCTGCATGTCCTCCTACAGGCTGATTTTGGACGAAACATGAAAGAGAGTCAAAAAGTACTCTAAAACAAAATCAAAAATAAACGAAAGATCGTCCCCAGACTATTGTTGAATGTTTGTGCATATTCCTCCTGTAGAGAGACAGGCCCGACTTCAGGGCAGACCCAGACCTCCGACGAAGCACGCGCTCCCCCCACATTCGAGTCGGGGATCGACTACAGAAGAGATTTACCCCAAAATGGATCTCCTCCTCGAAGCTGCAGAAAGGAGCAGGCCGAATGGTCGCAGATCCAGGAAAGCTCTACGCTTCTTTTCGTGATGCGACGGGAAGGCCAATTCTGGGGCACATCAAATTCCGCAGTCGATCCCCTGCTCGGCTTAATTCGGGCCTGTCCCCCTACAGGGGGATTTCCGACGAAAAATGAAAATACCCCAAAGATAATCAAACAATGATTCAAAAATATAGTCTGGGGGCGATGTTTGAGCATTCTGCTTGACCATTCGGGGGTATTTTGGGGGGTATCTTTCTGTTTTTGGTGTCGGCCGCCCCGGGGGCTTGGCGACACCAGGCCGGCACGCATGCCAGCACGGATCGTCTCGGCGAGGAGGAGGAGGAGGAGGAGGAGGAGGAGGAGGAGGAGGAGGAGGAGGAGGAGGAGGAGGAGGAGGAGGAGGAGGAGGAGGAGGAGGAGGAGGGGGAGGGAGGGGGAGGAGGAGGAGGAGGAGGAGGAGGAGGGGGAGGAGGGGGACAGGCCCGAAGTAATGCTCGGCCCATCTCGGCCGCTCCTGCGCCCCGGGGCCCGCAGGAGCGGGCCCGAGCCGAGCAGCTGGCCCCACGGGGGGGGGAAGGGGCCGGGACCTCCCGGGGCCGGGGGCCGACGGGAGCCGGGGGTCGGACGCCCGGGGCCCTCGGAGGGCGGCGCGTGCCCCGACCTTCCAGGAGCGCCTGGGCAAGATAGCACTCCAAGCTGGAGGGGCCCCAGGACACACAAAAAGAGAATACACACAAAGAAGAAGATTCCCCATAGTTTCCCATATTTTTAGGATTTTGCCTTCCCCCCCACTTCCCATATGTTTGCATGTTTTCCTGGGAGTCGACGATCAATTGTGTCTGTGTTTTCTCCCCCTGACAAACCTACGGGCCAGCGCTAAAGAAACGAACACTCCAATTCAACGGGCCCACCTGGACTGACTGGAAACCTCGACAGGAGGTTGGGGCACCCAGGTCCGGGTGCTATCTTCTGGCCCTCCTGGGAGGTCAGGCTGCCACGCCGCCGTGCGCAATACATTCCAAAGCTGCAGCGTTTCTCCACAAAGCGTGCCGCAAACGAACCGGAATCACGGCCCAAGAGCGCCCCAAGACACCCAAAATGGCCGCAAGACGGCCCAAGAGGCACCGCAAAGCCCCAAGAGCGCTCCACGAGGACCCCAAAGGGGGCCAGCTGAAGCAAAAGTGATTCACGTTCCTTGTGTTCTTCCCACATGCTTAGTGAGGTTAGTGTTTTCTTCCCTGCCGCGTCGCACACGCGTCTCCCTCACCTCCCTCCACTCCTTTCCTCCTCCTGTTGTTTTCCTCCCCTCACCCACACCCAACACATGCACGGCGCGAACATGAGAGACGTATCTACATACAACCGCACGCATGCGCACACTCGAAGACACACCATACAACGTCAGTGCGCGCCTGGCGTGCTGGCTGTATCATATACCCACATTGAGACACGCGCCCACCGACAGCAACACACACCGTACACATGCACAAGGCACGCAAACACACGCCATATACAAGACATGCGTGTAGGATTCGCAGTGGATGGCAGGCGTGGCATATTGTCGACACCAGAGGGAGGGGCGCGTGGGGTGGGTTGTGACCGCGGCTGCTATACGCGACGGTCGTCCAAGGCACAGCTGGCGTGGCAGGCGTGGCAGATTCACGATACCACTGGTGGTCTTTGAGGGCGACCGCTATCCGTGACGGTCGTCCAGGGCATAGCAAGCCTGGCAGATTCGCGACACCTCAGGGGGCGCGTAGAGTGTGGTTTCTGAGGGCGTCCGCTATCTATGTAGGTCGCCCATGGCATAGCAGTCCCAGCAAATCCTCGATACCATAGGGCGGCCGCAATCCGTGACGGTCGTTCCGAGCAAAGCAGGCCTGGCAGATTCTCGACACCGTAGGGGGTTGCGCAAAGCGTGATCTCTGGGTGCGGTGGCTATCCGTGACGGTCGTCCAATGGCCGTGACGGTCGCCCAGGGCATACTAGGCGTGGCAGAGTCTTCACACCATACGGGGGGGGCGCGGGGGGTGGTCTCTCAGGGCGGCCGCTATCCGCGACGGTCGCCCAGGGCATAGCGGGCCATAAAGGGGGGCGCAGGGGTGGTCTGTCACGGCGCTATCTGCGACGATCGCCCATGGGATCGCAGGCGTGGCATATTCTCGACGCCGTAGGTGTTGCGCAAGGTGCGGTCTCTGGATGCAGTCGCTATCCGCGACGGTCGTCCAAGGCATAGCAGGCGCGGCATACTCTCGACACCATAAAACGCGCGCAAGGGGCGGTCTCTGAGGGCGGCCGCTATCCGTGACGGTCGCCGAGACGTGGCATATTATCCCTGGCCTCCGCCCTGCTCTTCTGGGATCCTGGGTCGTCTCAGGCTGCGGCCCTCTCTGAGCCCCTTCTGGGTACATTCCATTCTGCAAGTTGCAACGTCCAGGCCCCAATTTTCCCAGCCGTTTGGTGAAATCAAAATGGCGGTTAGCCAGCAACGCCCCGGCTGTTACCCTTTCCCGGCCCCCTCAGGGCAATTAGGCCCCCAAAGCTTGACCAGCGCCACCAAGGGCATCGGGGAAGCAACGGCCACCAGCATCATTCTCGCAAGTCCCACGTCTGCCATCATCACGCTAGAGAGATTCTACATATGCGGGAATCCTGGGCGGCGTACTTCTACATGTTCGTGTTTTCGCGATTTCGGGCTTCCGACGCTCCAACATAACCCCAGAAACCACCAAGACCGCCCCATGACGACCCGAGGGGCCCCCAAGATGGCCCCAAGACGATCCAAGAAAGCCCCAACACGGCTCCAGAAGCGCCCAAGATCGCCAGAGAGGGCCCCCAGACGGCCCCAAGAGGGCCCCAAGAACAGGAACACGAACCAAACATCCGAGCCCCTTGCCCCAAGAAGCCCCCAGGAGGCCCCAAGAGGCCCCAAAGAGAGCCCAGGAGGCCCCCTCGATGCCCCACGAAGCTCCCAAGAGACCCAAGGAGCCCCAAGGGGCTTCCAAACAGCCCCCAAGGGGCCACGAACGCGCAAACAAACGCCTGCGATAGCGAAATACGGGCCGGCGGCATGAGCGAATTGATCGATAATTTGCCGTCGTCGCGGCCCCCATGTCCGAATATACTAAATTTCCCGGGTCGTCACGGATCCTCCTGCGCTTGATCGGCTGGCCACTGGCGTCTTCCAACCAGTTCTTTATGTCGGCACATGCTGGCACTTGAATTTATGTTGGTTCGACTGATCGCGTCTGCATTTGCCTCGCCTGTTCGCTAGCGGGCGGCCCCATTCCTCAATCACATTATGAGTTCTCGTCGGGATTCAAGGCCGTTTCCTCTACGATGGAATGGTTTGACTAAATAGACTTTGCCGCCTGCAACATACATTCAAACGTGGATGCAGCTGTGAAACCCAATTCCAGACAGAGATGTGCAACCCCCCGGTTCCGCACAACAGCTTCAGCATATCTGTCCGCGGTACACGTGTCTCTGAGCTTCGTGAGGTCAAATGTCAATGATTTATGTGAACGTTCCATTGATAGTATGGCGGTGTCAAGGTCAATGCAACATCTTCCTGCTATCGCTAGAAATAGAAGTAACACTGCGGAGCCAGACCCGCGCAAACATGACGTGGTCCAGCTGTTCTAAACGGCCTGGTTATATCGGTTATGCTGGTTTGGTGCCCATATCGTAAAAAAGGTGTTCTGGGATCAAGACCAATAGCAAAAAACGATACAGACTTCCACAGCAGCGCATAGTTCCAACAACGGTTTTCTATGTGACGTCGGAGCACATCACCCTGTTGGATTATCGATGATATCGTACCCCTTTACTTTTTCCTCTGGCACCACGCTGCAGTAACCTCACGCTAAAATCTCTCGATAAGCAGGTCGGCCCGTGCGACGTGCGACTCGATGAAAACCTAAACAAGTTCATGAAGAAGTGGTGCCGGGCATCGGAATATTCGGAATTGCACTCGTTGGTCCAAACGTACGCCGTAATCAAAGTAAGAAATCCACCAGCTAGAGAGATCCGTAAAATGCCATTAAAATTGAATGGCATGGCGCATCCAAAGGACCACAACAAACTCGACGCCTGCATGCTCCCTGCTGCCGTGTTCAAACCCAGAAAGACTATATATACACATATATATATAACCTTCACGTCCGGAAATGAAGAAGTCCAGGCAGTGCGTCTCACGAAAACATAGCACGTTGACGGGTCACTCAGACATGTGCTTAAAGTATGTCGAACAACCTGTGCGTCCCCTCCATGCCATTGCCTTCGACACTCCATGACGCCATTCGTTCATACTGAGCCATGCCGATACCAGCCGCACGTGTGCTGCCAATGCAGCGTCGCATTTCCTAGTGACACCCTTTTGTTAATTTTGCCATCGCCTTGCGCAAGCCTCTGGAAAACCCCGTTGGCGCGATTGCTCCGGTCGGCAACTTCCTGGCTGGTGGCGGGTTCGCCCCATGCTGCTCAAGAACCTTGCCAACGCAAGAAACTTGGAAACCACTCCTGGCCCCATGTGCAAGACAAACTGTTTTTTTTTCTGCGCGCACATAGCTTTTGACAGCTCGTCTGGAAGCAGGACCAGAAACTCTTTGGCACCCTCTTTTCCAGTGGCTGATCCCGACGTGTCCACATTATGCTTTCTTGATGATTGAACGGCGCCTGTCCTAGAATATCTGCGACAGCAAACTGCTGGAACGATTCGCCCTTGATGAGGACATCGGCTGGTTCTGGGGTTCTGAGCTGAAGAGCAGATTCGCTGGTCCATGTGGCATCGTACCGTTAAGTATCGAAGTTGCCATGGCCCCCAAAGTCTTCGGCGCATTCGTACTGCGTCCGTGGTGAATTCCGCCATCTGGCCCTCGAGCTCGATGAAGCCCGCCTCCACCGCGGATCCCCCACTGCGTGCAGAGGCGGTTCCTACAGAATCCGCCGACCCCTTGGGGTTCATCGGCGCGTGAGATCTCCCCCCTCCCCAAACCCCTCCCCCGGGAGCCCGGTCCGGTCGATTTGGAAGGGGGGGCGGGGTTCCGGCCGGATCCCCCGGGGGGGTCATCCGCTCCCGAAAATCCTGCGAGGACCCTTCCGGTGGCCTCGAAATGGCCCCGGGACGCCAAACGAGCGCTCCAAGACGCCCAAGGTGGCCCAAAGACGGGCTACGAGGCCTCCAGACGGCACAAGAGATCCCACGAGGCCCCAAGAGGCCTCCAAGATGCGTCCCAAGAGGGTCCCTAGACGCAAAAAGTTGCCCATCCCCTCCGTTAAACGTACATCTTTCACAAGTTCGCCTTCTGGGTTTTCCGATGCTCCCAGACGGCCCAAGAGGCCCCCAAGACCGCCCCAAGACGGCCCAAGAAGCCTCCAAGAGGGTCCCAAAATACCCCAAGAGGGCCCCAAGACGGGCCAACAGGCGTCCAAGACGGCCCAAGAGGGCCCCGAAAACGGCCCCAAGAGCGCTCCAGGAGCGCTCCGAATGGCCTCCAAGAGAGCTCAATATGGTCCCAGACGGTCCATGAGCGATCAAAGACGCCGAAGACAGCCTCCAGACGGCTCAAGATGCCCCCAAGAGGCCCCAAGAGGCATCCAAGATGCGCCCCAACAGGCCTCTAGACGCAAAAAGTTGGCCCACAAGTTCGCCCTTTGGGCTTTCCGACGCTCCCGGGCGGCCCAAGAGGCCCCCAAGACCGCACCAAGACGGTCCAAGAAGCCTCCAAGAGGGCCCCAAGACAGCCCAAGAGGGCGCCAAGACGGCTCAAGAGGCGCCGAAGACGGCCCAAGAGAGCCCCGAAGACGGCCCCAAGAGCGCTCCAGGAGCGCTCCAAGTGGCTTCCCAGAGAGCTCAACGTGGTCGCACACGGCCCAAGAGCGATCGATGACACCCGAGATGGCCTCCAGCTGGCCCAAGACGCCCCCAAGGGGCCTCCAAGATGCGTCCCAAGAGGGTCCCTAGACGCAAAAAGTTGCTCCTCCCCTTCGTAAGATGCATAGCTTTCACACATTCGCCCCGTGGGTTTTCCGACGTTCCGAGGCGGCCCAAGAGGCCCCGAAGACCGCCCCAAGACGGCCCACGAGGCCCCCGTGACGGCCCCACGACGGCCCAAGATGGCCCCAAGACGGCCCAAGAGGTCCCCAAGACGGCCCAAGAAGGCTCCAAGACGGCCCCAAGAGGGGCCCAAGAGGGCAACCAAAAATTCAAAAATCTAGCTTTCCGCCCCCACGAGCCCCAGGGGGGCCCCAAGAGTGCCCCAAGAGGCCGCCAGAAGCCCCCAAGAGGCCGCCAAGACGCCCCAAGGAGCCCCCAAGAGGCCCCCAGGAGGCCTCCAAAAGACCCCCAGACGCTTCCGCATTGCGAGCCGCCAAGCCAACTGCAATGCACTCCGCGCATGCAGCCTTACTCTTCCTCGCGACGTGCTCACAATCTTGCTCGGCGCTAATGTGCTGCTGCTACGCGAACTGTTTCGTGCGCGCTGCGAACGTCAACAGCCTCTTCACCCGTTTCGACTCATCTGCCACATCTTTCGCGGTGATGCTTCGCTGATCACACCTTCCGCACGCTTCTCTTGCTCCTTTCGTCTTCCGGTGCTCCTCCACTTGGTTCAGGGTCGAGAGGCCGATTTCCCAGAAGGACACCCCGCACCCGGGTGCACAGCACGCAAGGCGCTCGCAAAACACGGCCCAGACCACCGGCATCACGCAAACATTTGGGCCCCCTACGTATCTGCCACCACCCGCGCGCGACACCGCACCCTCACACAAGACGCCGCTGGCCAGACACTCCTGGCCTCGAAACAGTCACAGAAGGGGTCGGCGGATGTGGCGTAAGCCTGTAGAATCGAAATCAGGATGAAGTGGGTGCGACTCAAGAGCGGCATCCCTAGCAGTAATGTCATCAATCAGCTCGGCGCGATTACTCTCGAGGTTGGTGGCACGAATGGAAGTGTCGTCAAATTGCTCCTCCACCTCCTCGAACCTGATATCGATGGTCCCGCTCATGTCATTGATGCGCCATTCGAGGTTATATATGGTCGTGCGGGGGGGCTGCACCGCCTTGCGGAACATCTTGGCGATGTGCTCCAAGGTAGGCGGATGCAGGTCTTGTTCCTGTTGCTCGTGCTGTGCTTGTCCCCGTGCCGGAGAGAACGCCTCCACTGGTGTCGTAGGAGTCGCCAGCGTGTGTACCTTGGGGCCGTCGTCGCCATCATTCTGATTCAGGGACCTGCGTAGAACAGTCCCTCCCAACTACCACTGGCGTGCCTGGCGCGCGGGCGTGTGCGCGGGAGGGGCCGTCAGGCTAAGCGCTCGAAGCCATGGTCCTCAGAGGAGAATGTGAATGTACATTGACTGGGCTGTAAAGGGAATGGGTGTAAAGAAGAGGACTTTGGAACGGCGTTCCACATAAATGGTGACCTTGAGCCAAAATGGCTTGAGCAAAAATGGCTTCATCCTCAGAATCGTGATGATCCTCATCCGCGTCCTCATCCTCATCCCCATCCTCATCCTCATCGTCATTATCGTGTTCATTATAATCCGCGTCATCATAATCATCCTGCTCTTCATCACATTCTCATCCACCTCCTCATCCTCATCCTCATCCTCCTCCTCCTCCTCATCATCATCATCCGCATCATCAGCATCATCAGCATCAGCATCATCATCACATTCGTCGTCGTCGTCGGCAGCAGCAGCAGCATCGCGAGTAGCATCCGCGGTACCGTCATTCTAAGCATCATCAACTTCAGCATCAGCATCATCAACAACAGCATCATCATCAACAGCATCAACAACAACCTCATCAGCATCGGCGTCGTCATCATTCTCGGTCTCACCCACATCAGCATCCTCATTATCGTCCTCATCACCATCCTCATCCACATCCTCGTACTGCATGATCGTCATTATCAGCATCAACAACATCATGATCAGCAGCATCCTCGGCATGATCATTAGCAGCAGCAGCAGCAGCAGCAGCAACAGCCTCATCATCAACATCGTCGTCAGTATCATCATCAGCATCATCAGCATCAGCATGGTCAGTATTATACCATCATCATCAACAGCATCAGCATCAGCATCATCAGCAACAACAACATCAACATCACCGTCAGCATCACCCTGAAAGCCATCATCATCATCAGCATCACCATAATCAGCATCATCATCCTCATCGTCAACCTCATCATCATCATCATCATCATCATCAGAAGCAGTATCATCGTCGTCTTCAGCATTATCATTATCATCGCTATCATGTTAATCTTCCTCATCAGCAGCAGCATCATCAGCGTCATATTAATATTCCTCATCATCGTCATCATTATCATCCGCATCATCATCATCATCATCCTCAGCATCATCATCAGCGTCGTCGTCATCATCATCATCAGCAGCATCAATCATCATCAGCATCATCATCGTCGTCACCATCCTTTTCCTGATCCTCATCCTCATCCACATCCTCCTCATCCACATGATCATCGTCATCCTCATCATCATCACCAGCAGCAGCAGCATCAGCATCACCATCACCATCCCCACCACCACCACCATCACCATTATCGTGACCTCATCCAATCATCTTTACCGCAACATCGCCCACCACCACCACATCCATCTTTACCTCCCCATCATCATCATCATCATCATCATCATCATCATCATCATCATCATCATCATCATCATCATCATCATCATCATCATTATCATAAACATCATAATCATCATCATCACCATCATCACCATCACCATCATCATCATCAGCAGCATCATCATCGCCATCATCGTCGTCGTCATCATCGTTATCATCGTCGTCATCACCATCAGCATGAAAAATAATCATCAGTAGCAGCAGCATCATCATCACCTTCCAAAGCCGCGCCACCACCACCATCGTCTTTACCACTACCATCATCTGCACCTCCTCCCCTCCCCCTCCTCCTCCCCCTCCTCCTCCTCCTCCACCTCCTCCTCCTCCTCCTCCCCCCCCAGCGCCGCGCGGCCCCCAGGAGGGGCGCCGCGCGCCCCGATGTGGCGCGAGGCCATGGGTCAGGTGCCGAGTGCCGGGCGCTCCGTGCTGCCGGGGCGCGTGCGCTCCGCGCTGGACCCTGCGCTCAGCGGGCAGACTTCGGCCGGGCATGCCCTCCTCGTCGTCGTAGCGTCGGCTACTTTTCTGCTGTGCGCTGTCGGCCTCAAGGCGCAAAGGAGCCTCGTGGATGCCAAGACTCGCGGGCGTCTGCATGTCCTCCTACAGGCTGATTTTGGACGAAACATGAAAGAGAGTCAAAAAGTACTCTAAAACAAAATCAAAAATAAACGAAAGATCGTCCCCAGACTATTGTTGAATGTTTGTGCATATTCCTCCTGTAGAGAGACAGGCCCGACTTCAGGGCAGACCCAGACCTCCGACGAAGCACGCGCTCCCCCCACATTCGAGTCGGGGATCGACTACAGAAGAGATTTACCCCAAAATGGATCTCCTCCTCGAAGCTGCAGAAAGGAGCAGGCCGAATGGTCGCAGATCCAGGAAAGCTCTACGCTTCTTTTCGTGATGCGACGGGAAGGCCAATTCTGGGGCACATCAAATTCCGCAGTCGATCCCCTGCTCGGCTTAATTCGGGCCTGTCCCCCTACAGGGGGATTTCCGACGAAAAATGAAAATACCCCAAAGATAATCAAACAATGATTCAAAAATATAGTCTGGGGGCGATGTTTGAGCATTCTGCTTGACCATTCGGGGGTATTTTGGGGGGTATCTTTCTGTTTTTGGTGTCGGCCGCCCCGGGGGCTTGGCGACACCAGGCCGGCACGCATGCCAGCACGGATCGTCTCGGCGAGGAGGAGGAGGAGGAGGAGGAGGAGGAGGAGGAGGAGGAGGAGGAGGAGGAGGAGGGGAGGAGGAGGGAGGAGGGGAGGAGGAGGAGGGGGAGGAGGAGGAGGAGGAGGGGAGGAGGAGGAGGGGACAGGCCCGAAGTAATGCTCGGCCCATCTCGGCCGCTCCTGCGCCCCGGGGCGCAGGAGCGGGCCCGAGCCGAGCAGCTGGCCCCACGGGGGGGGGAAGGGGCCGGGACCTCCCGGGGCCGGGGGCCGACGGGAGCCGGGGGTCGGACGCCCGGGGCCCTCGGAGGGCGGCGCGTGCCCCGACCTTCCAGGAGCGCCTGGGCAAGATAGCACTCCAAGCTGGAGGGGCCCCAGGACACACAAAAAGAGAATACACACAAAGAAGAAGATTCCCCATAGTTTCCCATATTTTTAGGATTTTGCCTTCCCCCCCACTTCCCATATGTTTGCATGTTTTCCTGGGAGTCGACGATCAATTGTGTCTGTGTTTTCTCCCCCTGACAAACCTACGGGCCAGCGCTAAAGAAACGAACACTCCAATTCAACGGGCCCACCTGGACTGACTGGAAACCTCGACAGGAGGTTGGGGCACCCAGGTCCGGGTGCTATCTTCTGGCCCTCCTGGGAGGTCAGGCTGCCACGCCGCCGTGCGCAATACATTCCCCTGGATCCCAGGCTGGGCGCAGTACTCGGGTCGGGCGAAAGGGGGGCATCCACGAGGACCCCAAAGGGGGCCAGCTGAGCAAAGGGGGGGGTGTGTTTTCTTCCCTGAATCTCCCTCAGCTCACCCACACCCAACACATGTAGCTGATTTTCCTGGCGCCTCCCCGGCGCCGGAGCGGCCAGGTATCGAGGAATGGGCACCTCGGCGGGCCCGAAACCAGCTGAATGCAGCAAATTTCGTACCCCCCCCTTTCCCAATCCCCCCCCTTTCGCCCGGCCCGAAGTACAGAGGCCTCCCCTGGCCGTCGGCCGGGGTGGCGCAGGCAGCGCGCCGGCGCCCAAGACGGCCACAGGACGGGTGCAGGGGCAGGGCCTCCCGAGCTGCGGCTCGAGCAGGTGGGGTCGAAGGCTCGCGCCGCACTGCCCGTCGGGCCGTCTCGGAGACGTCCCCGTCGGCCCAGCGGGGGCACTTTGAGCCGTTTTGGGGGGGCGCCCACTCCTGCCCGCGCAGGCCTGCACCGCCGCGGCTGCGTCGCCTGACGCCACCTGTCTGCACCGTTGTGTCGTGTACCGGATGCTGGCACGTTTTCTCGTTCGCCATACCCGCCCCGCCAGGCGTAGTCCACCGCGCGCGCGCGTGTGTCGTTGTGAAGTCTCGGCGCATACCCTGGCAGAAGCGATCGATTGCAAGACAGCGCGTAGGTACAGAAGTCTATGAGATGCATCTGATGTGTCAAGGAGGCCTCCTAGATGGGGTCGGAGGATCGCGCCGCATCGCCGATACATTGGCGATGCATCGGCGATGCATCGGCGATGCATCGTCGGCGTCGGCGATGGATCGGCGACAACGACGCGAAGCGACTCGGGCTTCACATCGAGCCGCATTGGCGATGCATCGGCGATGCGGCGCGACCCTCCGACCCCATCTACTCCTACCCCATCTAAGAGGCCTAGAGTGTCAAGGATGATGCTACTCTATGAGAGAACCAAGCGTCTCTGGATGGGTCCTATCCGCGACGGTCGTCCAAGGCATAGCAGGCGCGGCATACTCTCGACACCATAAAACGCGCGCAAGGGGCGGTCTCTGAGGGCGGCCGCTATCCGTGACGGTCGCCGAGACGTGGCATATTATCCCTGGCCTCCGCCCTGCTCTTCTGGGATCCTGGGTCGTCTCAGGCTGCGGCCCTCTCTGAGCCCCTTCTGGGTACATTCCATTCTGCAAGTTGCAACGTCCAGGCCCCAATTTTCCCAGCCGTTTGGTGAAATCAAAATGGCGGTTAGCCAGCAACGCCCCGGCTGTTACCCTTTCCCGGCCCCCTCAGGGCAATTAGGCCCCCAAAGCTTGACCAGCGCCACCAAGGGCATCGGGGAAGCAACGGCCACCAGCATCATTCTCGCAAGTCCCACGTCTGCCATCATCACGCTAGAGAGATTCTACATATGCGGGAATCCTGGGCGGCGTACTTCTACATGTTCGTGTTTTCGCGATTTCGGGCTTCCGACGCTCCAACATAACCCCAGAAACCACCAAGACCGCCCCATGACGACCCGAGGGGCCCCCAAGATGGCCCCAAGACGATCCAAGAAAGCCCCAACACGGCTCCAGAAGCGCCCAAGATCGCCAGAGAGGGCCCCCAGACGGCCCCAAGAGGGCCCCAAGAACAGGAACACGAACCAAACATCCGAGCCCCTTGCCCCAAGAAGCCCCCAGGAGGCCCCAAGAGGCCCCAAAGAGAGCCCAGGAGGCCCCCTCGATGCCCCACGAAGCTCCCAAGAGACCCAAGGAGCCCCAAGGGGCTTCCAAACAGCCCCCAAGGGGCCACGAACGCGCAAACAAACGCCTGCGATAGCGAAATACGGGCCGGCGGCATGAGCGAATTGATCGATAATTTGCCGTCGTCGCGGCCCCCATGTCCGAATATACTAAATTTCCCGGGTCGTCACGGATCCTCCTGCGCTTGATCGGCTGGCCACTGGCGTCTTCCAACCAGTTCTTTATGTCGGCACATGCTGGCACTTGAATTTATGTTGGTTCGACTGATCGCGTCTGCATTTGCCTCGCCTGTTCGCTAGCGGGCGGCCCCATTCCTCAATCACATTATGAGTTCTCGTCGGGATTCAAGGCCGTTTCCTCTACGATGGAATGGTTTGACTAAATAGACTTTGCCGCCTGCAACATACATTCAAACGTGGATGCAGCTGTGAAACCCAATTCCAGACAGAGATGTGCAACCCCCCGGTTCCGCACAACAGCTTCAGCATATCTGTCCGCGGTACACGTGTCTCTGAGCTTCGTGAGGTCAAATGTCAATGATTTATGTGAACGTTCCATTGATAGTATGGCGGTGTCAAGGTCAATGCAACATCTTCCTGCTATCGCTAGAAATAGAAGTAACACTGCGGAGCCAGACCCGCGCAAACATGACGTGGTCCAGCTGTTCTAAACGGCCTGGTTATATCGGTTATGCTGGTTTGGTGCCCATATCGTAAAAAAGGTGTTCTGGGATCAAGACCAATAGCAAAAAACGATACAGACTTCCACAGCAGCGCATAGTTCCAACAACGGTTTTCTATGTGACGTCGGAGCACATCACCCTGTTGGATTATCGATGATATCGTACCCCTTTACTTTTTCCTCTGGCACCACGCTGCAGTAACCTCACGCTAAAATCTCTCGATAAGCAGGTCGGCCCGTGCGACGTGCGACTCGATGAAAACCTAAACAAGTTCATGAAGAAGTGGTGCCGGGCATCGGAATATTCGGAATTGCACTCGTTGGTCCAAACGTACGCCGTAATCAAAGTAAGAAATCCACCAGCTAGAGAGATCCGTAAAATGCCATTAAAATTGAATGGCATGGCGCATCCAAAGGACCACAACAAACTCGACGCCTGCATGCTCCCTGCTGCCGTGTTCAAACCCAGAAAGACTATATATACACATATATATATAACCTTCACGTCCGGAAATGAAGAAGTCCAGGCAGTGCGTCTCACGAAAACATAGCACGTTGACGGGTCACTCAGACATGTGCTTAAAGTATGTCGAACAACCTGTGCGTCCCCTCCATGCCATTGCCTTCGACACTCCATGACGCCATTCGTTCATACTGAGCCATGCCGATACCAGCCGCACGTGTGCTGCCAATGCAGCGTCGCATTTCCTAGTGACACCCTTTTGTTAATTTTGCCATCGCCTTGCGCAAGCCTCTGGAAAACCCCGTTGGCGCGATTGCTCCGGTCGGCAACTTCCTGGCTGGTGGTGGGTTCGCCCCATGCTGCTCAAGAACCTTGCCAACGCAAGAAACTTGGAAACCACTCCTGGCCCCATGTGCAAGACAAACTGTTTTTTTTTCTGCGCGCACATAGCTTTTGACAGCTCGTCTGGAAGCAGGACCAGAAACTCTTTGGCACCCTCTTTTCCAGTGGCTGATCCCGACGTGTCCACATTATGCTTTCTTGATGATTGAACGGCGCCTGTCCTAGAATATCTGCGACAGCAAACTGCTGGAACGATTCGCCCTTGATGAGGACATCGGCTGGTTCTGGGGTTCTGAGCTGAAGAGCAGATTCGCTGGTCCATGTGGCATCGTACCGTTAAGTATCGAAGTTGCCATGGCCCCCAAAGTCTTCGGCGCATTCGTACTGCGTCCGTGGTGAATTCCGCCATCTGGCCCTCGAGCTCGATGAAGCCCGCCTCCACCGCGGATCCCCCACTGCGTGCAGAGGCGGTTCCTACAGAATCCGCCGACCCCTTGGGGTTCATCGGCGCGTGAGATCTTCCCCCTCCCCAAACCCCTCCCCCGGGAGCCCGGTCCGGTCGATTTGGAAGGGGGGGCGGGGTTCCGGCCGGATCCCCCGGGGGGGTCATCCGCTCCCGAAAATCCTGCGAGGACCCTTCCGGTGGCCTCGAAATGGCCCCGGGACGCCAAACGAGCGCTCCAAGACGCCCAAGGTGGCCCAAAGACGGGCTACGAGGCCTCCTAGACGGCACAAGAGGTCCCCACGAGGCCCCAAGAGGCCTCCAAGATGCGCCCAAAGAGGGTCCCTAGACGCAAAATGTTGCCCATTCCCTCCGTGAAACGTACATTTTTCACAAGTTCGCCTTCTGGGTCTTCCGATGCTCCCAGACGGCCCAAGAGGCCCCCAAGACCGCCCCAAGACGGCCCAAGAAGCCTCCAAGAGGGTCCCAAAATACCCCAAGAGGGCCCCAAGACAGGCCAACAGGCGTCCAAGACGGCCCAAGAGGGCCCCGAAAACGGCCCCAACAGCGCTCCAGGAGCGCTCCGAATGGCCTCCAAGAGAGCTCAATATGGTCCCAGACGGTCCAAGAGCGATCAAAGACGGCCTCCAGACGGCCCAAGATGCCCCCAAGAGGCCCCAAGAGGCATCCAAGATGCGCCCCAAGAGGGCCTCTGGACGCAAAAAGTTGGCCCGTTCCCTTCGTAAAACGTATATGTTTCACCAGTTCGCCTTTTGGGTTTTCCGACGCTCCCCGACGGCCCAAGAGGCCCCCAAGACCGCACCAAGACGGTCCAAGAAGCCTCCAAGAGGGCCCCAAGACAGCCCAAGAGGGCGCCAAGACGGCTCAAGAGGCGCCGAAGACGGCCCAAGAGAGCCCCGAAGACGGCCCCAAGAGCGCTCCAGGAGCGCTCCAAGTGGCTTCCCAGAGAGCTCAACGTGGTCGCACACGGCCCAAGAGCGATCGATGACACCCGAGATGGCCTCCAGCTGGCCCAAGACGCCCCCAAGGGGCCTCCAAGATGCGTCCCAAGAGGGTCCCTAGACGCAAAAAGTTGTTCCTCCCCTTCGTAAGATGCATAGCTTTCACACATTCGCCCCGTGGGTTTTCCGACGTTCCGAGGCGGCCCAAGAGGCCCCGAAGACCGCCCCAAGACGGCCCACGAGGCCCCCGTGACGGCCCCACGACGGCCCAAGATGGCCCCAAGACGGCCCAAGAGGTCCCCAAGACGGCCCAAGAAGGCTCCAAGACGGCCCCAAGAGGGGCCCAAGAGGGCAACCAAAAATTCAAAAATCTAGCTTTCCGCCCCCACGAGCCCCAGGGGGGCCCCAAGAGTGCCCCAAGAGGCCGCCAGAAGCCCCCAAGAGGCCGCCAAGACGCCCCAAGGAGCCCCCAAGAGGCCCCCAGGAGGCCTCCAAAAGACCCCCAGACGCTTCCGCATTGCGAGCCGCCAAGCCAACTGCAATGCACTCCGCGCATGCAGCCTTACTCTTCCTCGCGACGTGCTCACAATCTTGCTCGGCGCTAATGTGCTGCTGCTACGCGAACTGTTTCGTGCGCGCTGCGAACGTCAACAGCCTCTTCACCCGTTTCGACTCATCTGCCACATCTTTCGCGGTGATGCTTCGCTGATCACACCTTCCGCACGCTTCTCTTGCTCCTTTCGTCTTCCGGTGCTCCTCCACTTGGTTCAGGGTCGAGAGGCCGATTTCCCAGAAGGACACCCCGCACCCGGGTGCACAGCACGCAAGGCGCTCGCAAAACACGGCCCAGACCACCGGCATCACGCAAACATTTGGGCCCCCTACGTATCTGCCACCACCCGCGCGCGACACCGCACCCTCACACAAGACGCCGCTGGCCAGACACTCCTGGCCTCGAAACAGTCACAGAAGGGGTCGGCGGATGTGGCGTAAGCCTGTAGAATCGAAATCAGGATGAAGTGGGTGCGACTCAAGAGCGGCATCCCTAGCAGTAATGTCATCAATCAGCTCGGCGCGATTACTCTCGAGGTTGGTGGCACGAATGGAAGTGTCGTCAAATTGCTCCTCCACCTCCTCGAACCTGATATCGATGGTCCCGCTCATGTCATTGATGCGCCATTCGAGGTTATATATGGTCGTGCGGGGGGGCTGCACCGCCTTGCGGAACATCTTGGCGATGTGCTCCAAGGTAGGCGGATGCAGGTCTTGTTCCTGTTGCTCGTGCTGTGCTTGTCCCCGTGCCGGAGAGAACGCCTCCACTGGTGTCGTAGGAGTCGCCAGCGTGTGTACCTTGGGGCCGTCGTCGCCATCATTCTGATTCAGGGACCTGCGTAGAACAGTCCCTCCCAACTACCACTGGCGTGCCTGGCGCGCGGGCGTGTGCGCGGGAGGGGCCGTCAGGCTAAGCGCTCGAAGCCATGGTCCTCAGAGGAGAATGTGAATGTACATTGACTGGGCTGTAAAGGGAATGGGTGTAAAGAAGAGGACTTTGGAACGGCGTTCCACATAAATGGTGACCTTGAGCCAAAATGGCTTGAGCAAAAATGGCTTCATCCTCAGAATCGTGATGATCCTCATCCGCGTCCTCATCCTCATCCCCATCCTCATCCTCATCGTCATTATCGTGTTCATTATAATCCGCGTCATCATAATCATCCTGCTCTTCATCACATTCTCATCCACCTCCTCATCCTCATCCTCATCCTCCTCCTCCTCCTCATCATCATCATCCGCATCATCAGCATCATCAGCATCAGCATCATCATCACATTCGTCGTCGTCGTCGGCAGCAGCAGCAGCATCGCGAGTAGCATCCGCGGTACCGTCATTCTAAGCATCATCAACTTCAGCATCAGCATCATCAACAACAGCATCATCATCAACAGCATCAACAACAACCTCATCAGCATCGGCGTCGTCATCATTCTCGGTCTCACCCACATCAGCATCCTCATTATCGTCCTCATCACCATCCTCATCCACATCCTCGTACTGCATGATCGTCATTATCAGCATCAACAACATCATGATCAGCAGCATCCTCGGCATGATCATTAGCAGCAGCAGCAGCAGCAGCAGCAACAGCCTCATCATCAACATCGTCGTCAGTATCATCATCAGCATCATCAGCATCAGCATGGTCAGTATTATACCATCATCATCAACAGCATCAGCATCAGCATCATCAGCAACAACAACATCAACATCACCGTCAGCATCACCCTGAAAGCCATCATCATCATCAGCATCACCATAATCAGCATCATCATCCTCATCGTCAACCTCATCATCATCATCATCATCATCAGAAGCAGTATCATCGTCGTCTTCAGCATTATCATTATCATCGCTATCATGTTAATCTTCCTCATCAGCAGCAGCATCATCAGCGTCATATTAATATTCCTCATCATCGTCATCATTATCATCCGCATCATCATCATCATCATCCTCAGCATCATCATCAGCGTCGTCGTCATCATCATCATCAGCAGCATCAATCATCATCAGCATCATCATCGTCGTCACCATCCTTTTCCTGATCCTCATCCTCATCCACATCCTCCTCATCCACATGATCATCGTCATCCTCATCATCATCACCAGCAGCAGCAGCATCAGCATCACCATCACCATCCCCACCACCACCACCATCACCATTATCGTGACCTCATCCAATCATCTTTACCGCAACATCGCCCACCACCACCACATCCATCTTTACCTCCCCATCATCATCATCATCATCATCATCATCATCATCATCATCATCATCATCATCATCATCATCATCATCATCATCATTATCATAAACATCATAATCATCATCATCACCATCATCACCATCACCATCATCATCATCAGCAGCATCATCATCGCCATCATCGTCGTCGTCATCATCGTTATCATCGTCGTCATCACCATCAGCATGAAAAATAATCATCAGTAGCAGCAGCATCATCATCACCTTCCAAAGCCGCGCCACCACCACCATCGTCTTTACCACTACCATCATCTGCACCTCCTCCCCTCCCCCTCCTCCTCCCCCTCCTCCTCCTCCTCCACCTCCTCCTCCTCCTCCTCCCCCCCCAGCGCCGCGCGGCCCCCAGGAGGGTGCCGCGCGCCACGATGTGGCGACGAGGCCCATTGGTCAGGTGCCGAGTGCCGGCCTCCGTGCTGCCGGGGCGCGGCGCTCACCGCCCCGCGGACTTCCTATGCGCCAGACGGGCAGATCTTTAATTCGGCCGGCAATTGCCCTCCTCGTCGTCGTACGTCCGCTACGATTTCTGGCTTGCCTGTCGGCCTCAAGGCGCAAAGGAGCCTCGTGGATGCCAAGACTCGCGGGCGTCTGCATGTCCTCCTACCGGCTGATTTTGGACTAAACATTAAAGAGAGTCAAAAAGACTCTAAAACAAAATCAAAAATAAACAAAGACGTCCCCAACTATTGTTAATGTTGTGCATATTCCACCTGTAGAAGAGACAGGCCAACCACCATGGCAGAAACCCAACCTCCGAGAGAAGCACGCGCTCCCCCCCCATTCGAGTCGGGGATCGACTACAGAAGAGATTTACCCCAAAATGGATCTCCTCCTCGAAGCTGCAGAAAGGAGCAGGCCGAATGGTCGCAGATCCAGGAAAGCTCTACGCTTCTTTTCGTGATGCGACGGGAAGGCCAATTCTGGGGCACATCAAATTCCGCAGTCGATCCCCTGCTCGGCTTAATTCGGGCCTGTCCCCCTACAGGGGGATTTCCGACGAAAAATGAAAATACCCCAAAGATAATCAAACAATGATTCAAAAATATAGTCTGGGGGCGATGATTGAGCATTCTGCTTGACCATTCGGGGGTATTTTGGGGGGTATCTTTCTGTTTTTGGTGTCGGCCGCCCCGGGGGCTTGGCGACACCAGGCCGGCACGCATGCCAGCACGGATCGTCTCGGCGAGGAGGAGGAGGAGGAGGAGGAGGAGGAGGAGGAGGAGGAGGAGGAGGAGGAGGAGGAGGAGGAGGAGGAGGAGGAGGAGGAGAAGAGGGGGAAGGAGGAGGGGGAGGAGGAGGAGGAGGAGGGGGAGGAGGGGGACAGGCCCGAAGTAATGCTCGGCCCATCTCGGCCGCTCCTGCGCCCCGGGGCCCGCAGGAGCGGGCCCGAGCCGAGCAGCTGGCCCCACGGGGGGGGGAAGGGGCCGGGACCTCCCGGGGCCGGGGGCCGACGGGAGCCGGGGGTCGGACGCCCGGGGCCCTCGGAGGGCGGCGCGTGCCCCGACCTTCCAGGAGCGCCTGGGCAAGATAGCACTCCAAGCTGGAGGGGCCCCAGGACACACAAAAAGAGAATACACACAAAGAAGAAGATTCCCCATAGTTTCCCATATTTTTAGGATTTTGCCTTCCCCCCCACTTCCCATATGTTTGCATGTTTTCCTGGGAGTCGACGATCAATTGTGTCTGTGTTTTCTCCCCCTGACAAACCTACGGGCCAGCGCTAAAGAAACGAACACTCCAATTCAACGGGCCCACCTGGACTGACTGGAAACCTCGACAGGAGGTTGGGGCACCCAGGTCCGGGTGCTATCTTCTGGCCCTCCTGGGAGGTCAGGCTGCCACGCCGCCGTGCGCAATACATTCCAAAGCTGCAGCGTTTCTCCACAAAGCGTGCCGCAAACGAACCGGAATCACGGCCCAAGAGCGCCCCAAGACACCCAAAATGGCCGCAAGACGGCCCAAGAGGCACCGCAAAGCCCCAAGAGCGCTCCACGAGGACCCCAAAGGGGGCCAGCTGAAGCAAAAGTGATTCACGTTCCTTGTGTTCTTCCCACATGCTTAGTGAGGTTAGTGTTTTCTTCCCTGCCGCGTCGCACACGCGTCTCCCTCACCTCCCTCCACTCCTTTCCTCCTCCTGTTGTTTTCCTCCCCTCACCCACACCCAACACATGCACGGCGCGAACATGAGAGACGTATCTACATACAACCGCACGCATGCGCACACTCGAAGACACACCATACAACGTCAGTGCGCGCCTGGCGTGCTGGCTGTATCATATACCCACATTGAGACACGCGCCCACCGACAGCAACACACACCGTACACATGCACAAGGCACGCAAACACACGCCATATACAAGACATGCGTGTAGGATTCGCAGTGGATGGCAGGCGTGGCATATTGTCGACACCAGAGGGAGGGGCGCGTGGGGTGGGTTGTGACCGCGGCTGCTATACGCGACGGTCGTCCAGTCGTCCAAGGCACAGCTGGCGTGGCAGGCTGGGCAGATTCACGATACCAACTGGTGGTCTTGAGGGCGACCGCTATCCGTGACGGTCGTCCAGGGCATAGCAAGCCTGGCAGATTCGCGACACCTCAGGGGGCGCGTAGAGTGTGGTTTCTGAGGGCGTCCGCTATCTATGTAGGTCGCCCATGGCATAGCAGTCCCAGCAAATCCTCGATACCATAGGGCGGCCGCAATCCGTGACGGTCGTTCCGAGCAAAGCAGGCCTGGCAGATTCTCGACACCGTAGGGGGTTGCGCAAAGCGTGATCTCTGGGTGCGGTGGCTATCCGTGACGGTCGTCCAATGGCCGTGACGGTCGCCCAGGGCATACTAGGCGTGGCAGAGTCTTCACACCATACGGGGGGGGCGCGGGGGGTGGTCTCTCAGGGCGGCCGCTATCCGCGACGGTCGCCCAGGGCATAGCGGGCCATAAAGGGGGGCGCAGGGGTGGTCTGTCACGGCGCTATCTGCGACGATCGCCCATGGGATCGCAGGCGTGGCATATTCTCGACGCCGTAGGTGTTGCGCAAGGTGCGGTCTCTGGATGCAGTCGCTATCCGCGACGGTCGTCCAAGGCATAGCAGGCGCGGCATACTCTCGACACCATAAAACGCGCGCAAGGGGCGGTCTCTGAGGGCGGCCGCTATCCGTGACGGTCGCCGAGACGTGGCATATTATCCCTGGCCTCCGCCCTGCTCTTCTGGGATCCTGGGTCGTCTCAGGCTGCGGCCCTCTCTGAGCCCCTTCTGGGTACATTCCATTCTGCAAGTTGCAACGTCCAGGCCCCAATTTTCCCAGCCGTTTGGTGAAATCAAAATGGCGGTTAGCCAGCAACGCCCCGGCTGTTACCCTTTCCCGGCCCCCTCAGGGCAATTAGGCCCCCAAAGCTTGACCAGCGCCACCAAGGGCATCGGGGAAGCAACGGCCACCAGCATCATTCTCGCAAGTCCCACGTCTGCCATCATCACGCTAGAGAGATTCTACATATGCGGGAATCCTGGGCGGCGTACTTCTACATGTTCGTGTTTTCGCGATTTCGGGCTTCCGACGCTCCAACATAACCCCAGAAACCACCAAGACCGCCCCATGACGACCCGAGGGGCCCCCAAGATGGCCCCAAGACGATCCAAGAAAGCCCCAACACGGCTCCAGAAGCGCCCAAGATCGCCAGAGAGGGCCCCCAGACGGCCCCAAGAGGGCCCCAAGAACAGGAACACGAACCAAACATCCGAGCCCCTTGCCCCAAGAAGCCCCCAGGAGGCCCCAAGA